CTCTGGCACTATTTCCTGCAGTCCGGGTGGTGGCGCTGAAGTATATGAAAGATCAATTTCCTGGAAGTAAAGCAGTTAGAAAGGGAAAAGAAAAGTAGTGACGAAAGTGATATACCTTGAGTTTCGAGGTTAGACGACTGAGTTCTGCTTCATCTTCATCTACTTCTTCTTTGTAGTCTCTGTCCATTTGCTTGTACATATGCCAGTCCTCATCATTCATGCCAAAAGTATCTTCGTCCAAAGGTTGCTTGCATTAAGAGTTTCATTTGTTCTCTCTACACGGCAGTCAGCTTTTCACTTTTGACCGTGAGTCTGCAACTACAGTACCATGGCCGTTGGTTGTGCAAACTTTCTGCTGTTTTCTTTGGTCTACCTTTGTTGAAACTTCACAATGCCTGGCCTTCAACTCCTCTAGATACTTCTCCAGGTTTTCCTACGATGAGAAAGAGTTGTAAATATTTAGAAAGAAAAAGATGTAAAAGATGTACAAGCGATACTCTTCTTCCATTTGTTGCTTGTGCTCTCTCTGCAGGGACTCTTCTTAACATCTTTGCCTTGCTCGAATGTGTCTATCAAGTGCACGATCCCGATTTTTTGGGTTTTCTGCCAGTGGTGCTGTTGTTTGTAAAAAAATCTTTGCTTTCTTTTTCGCTTCAATTGCCAATGCCAAGCACACAACAGCTGACAAAAAGAAAATTTGATATACACAACTGTTCCTTGAATAAAAGGCTTTCTGCATTTTTGAGCAGAGGGTACTTTTGTGATGCTAGAATGTCACCACTATTCACTATCTTTTAACACCTTAATGCTTTCTCCGTTAGCTTTACATATACTACTTCAATCAGTCTAGATCCCGAAAAAGGTTCTTCAAGTATTCCGCCTCATTTTCTAAATCAATAAGCTTTGAGGATAGTTTTGCTGCTGCCATTTCTTGAAGCTGCTATCACTGCTTTTCTCTCAAAGCTGCCAGTTCATCCTCCCCAGGCTGCTCTTTTTCAGGTGGCAGTATCCATGGCACCTACCACCATCTCGTTTTCACTAATGCCTAGGGAGATTATAACTGATGAAATTAATTGCTACAACATTGACACACCGAACTGCTTACCTAAAATAGTTTTAGCTTTGCAGTATAGTCGACTGTAATGCAGCTATTCTCTGTTTTTCAAAAACCACATGTGGTAGTTATGCTATATTCAATCAAATCGCTATGGACTTACAGATATTGAAGGCACAAAAAGCACTTTAGATAATCAGAGACATGAAAGCCTCCTACCGATTTTCTGCAGCATACTTCCATAATAGGCTCCTTAATAGATATCTGACACAATACGAGTTTTGAACTTACAACAAAAGCAAAAACTAACAGAAAAACCATCAGTGTATTGATATAATATGAGTTGTAGCAAACAAGTATACCATCAGAATTGCACGTGTGTGTGCATGCATGTGCGTGCGCTCACACACACACAGACAGACAGAGAGAGAGAGAGAGAGAGAGAGAGAGAGAGAGAGCACGCACCTGTCCAGTTGGTTACAGTGTCAATCCATAAGGGTGCAAGAATTGATCACGTCCACAATCAGTACAAATATGAAACCCTCAGATACAAAGAGCCATAATAACTGTTTTTAAGAAAGTATTACATCTAAACCATTGATTTGACAAATCGAAGGGTAAGAGAATATCTGTCCCCCGATGCCAATAGCACTTTTAAATAAAGAAGTACTAGCAAAAGTCCCAGCTATGCTGGGAGCACGTCTTTATTTTTGATATTTTAATAATTCCAAAGAGTTGTAAACGTAATTGTAATTTTTAACACAATCATAATTATAAGATATATAGTTAAACATAACATAATATTTATATTAAAAATATCTTCTACAATTGATTCTATCACCAACACACATAATAACATAATAAATATAACTCAGTACATTATATCATATTTAAAATTCTGATTGTTGAGTGAAGTCTTGGATATTCTATAAATGGAATTTCTCACTATGGGATCCCATGGCCAGATGAGTCATTTGTTTAATAACTAATTTTTTATTTTATTTGAAATCTCTATATAATTGATAAAAATATTATTATTTGATGATTTATTAAACTCTATAATTTTTCCTCTTAATAAAGTATGTGTAACTTAATTACACTCAAATATAGTGATGTTAAAAATATATTTAATATATATTTAAAAACTCATTTAAAGTGTATACATCTTTTAAATTTAAAAAATATAAACATTATTATGGAGTTTCTCTTTTCATCATTTCAGACTGAAAGTTTTGGAATTGCATGATAATAAGTGAAAGATGTTAGCTTTATGTGTTATATTTTCTTTTATAAAATTATAATATTTTACATATTTATCATTGATATTCCCTTTTAACCTAATATTTATATTCATGAATTTTTTGAGAGTAATATTTAAAATAGAAAGTATTCTATTATATATCATAAACATTGTTTCTGTAGTTTTTTTTATAAATCTGAAATAAGATTATTATCTCCCTATATTCATGTATTTATATTTAAAATTAAGGCTTTATAACACTGTTATGAATGCTGAAATTTTATGATGATAAATGAATGGTAATGTTCTACTCTATACTGGGGTAGAGTAGGGTCAATGAATACCATCTTTGTACAACTAAATGTTTAAAATCATTTGAACCTAGTGCATTATATCATCTTGGATCAGTTGTCCAATTGCCTTTTATATGTATTACAATATCACTTATGCCTCCTTGAATATGTTTTGAATTTAACTCTTGATTCTCTATTTCTTACCATTTTTTGAATGCATTAGCATAGGGATTTATCTCTTTTAATAATTTATCAAGACCACCCATTAGTTGCTCATATCATTTATAATTGTGTTTTTTTATTTATTTTTATTTCCGTTTCTTGAGAAGTATTCTAAAATATTTCATTGTGAATAAGCTGCATATTTTTCATTATTTGGTTTTAAACTTCCAATATTATATTAAATTTATATGTATAGATTAAAATAATTAGGGCCATCTACTGCAATGATCAATGAGGCTCTTTCATTTAAATATATTGGATGATTAGCGAAAGATCTCGATTCAACTTTGGTCTTTATTTATATATCAATAAACGTTTTACAATTCTTTCTTTACATTTCAACTCCCTCGTTTTCCTTTTCGTTCCAACTTGTTTTCATTCTGCAGTTGTTCTCGGCAGCCACCAAAAATGTTTTCCAGCCATAGACATAAGAGATGTTGATGTCCAGAGAATACAAAAAAGAAAAACGCAAGCAAATGAAGTTAGTAATGGTGAAAAGGAAATAGGAACTTACTGCTGGCATTTTCTTTTAAGCCGCTCGAACTTGCTTCATGCCCAAGTCGTTCTCAAGGCCGGGAGCACTCTTTTTTACACCACTCCTTCACAGCTTGTCGATCTTAATGCTGCAATTTTTGACAAATCCATGGGTGTTGCCAATTGGCATAACATCTCCAGTTTCACATATTCTGCAAGCATTGTTTTTGCCCATATTAGTTTCCAAACAAATCTCCACATTAGTGGTAAAAGGTATGAGTTCTTGATTTTCAGTAGCATTTGCTCCAATTACATCCCCTTCTAAAATGGCATCCACAGTTTTCTGCTTTCTTTTGTGGCCCATTTCCAGCTAGTTATTTCAATTTGTATAATAGGCTAGTAGATTTCAGCAAAGTAGAATAGCTTTGGGTAGGTGTTAGTTCTGTTTAGATCGTCATGCAATGATGCAGTTTCTTATCGATAAGTTTTTTTTGGTTTTTTTTTCTGTTTTGTATTCAAGCAAACATAGCAATAGCCAATAGAATAGAGATTCTTGTATGTGCAGGTCACTCTTCTGAACTGTTTTCTGCCTGCACATTTCCTTTTGAATGTTTTAAGCATTTTTAGGAACGACATATAGACATTTTGTTTTTTACCTAAAACCTTTACGAGAGAGAGCAAAACACTAAATAAAATCAAACACGGAAATCATTTCTATGCCCTGAGTTAATGTACAAATATTATGTACACAACAGTTTATTTAATGCTGTCTTATTCCTTCAGAAATGGCTTTTTTAAAAACAGTTCATGGCTTTGTCTGTAAGAAAGTAGAGTAGGCTGTCATGTAGAGCTCCAATCCTTGTTCTCCACCACCTCAGCTGCCATGTACTTCGCTGTGGTGATATCTCCTAAAGGTACTTTGTCGCACATGTTTAGCTTGGAAAGAATGTTGTCGAGCTTGAGATCCTGGTGAACCACGCCCCTCAAATAAATCTATTTGAAGGTCTTTACCAGCTGCTTGATGATTCTGGCTGCTTTCTCCTCACCAATCTTCTCGCAAATATGCTATATTTAAAAGACCAAATAATTATGGAATAACAGGAAGGCAATATTTCCACCAATGAACGTAACCACTCGAGAAAAAATGCCCGTGCCCTGTCCAAAAGGAGACTCGGACAACACCACAAAGTCGGCAAACTTTCCTTGCGTCAGCGACCCAACCAAATCCTCCAATGCAGCTGCATACACATGGTTTAGCCTTTACTACGGCCTTTTGGACGTCCTGTGGTTTCCTCCTGTGATGTTTTCCTTCCTGGCTTTAGAGAGTAACTGAGGATCAAATGAAACAAACCTTGCCATGTAAGATTGCACTGCCTGAGCAAAGCCAGGCTTGTACGAGAAGAGCAGCCCACGGAAGAGTTTCCCATCGATGGACGCTTCTAGCTAGTTGAATACGTCACTTTCTCTAGCCTCGAACATCTTCTCACCTAGCAGCTGAACGTGAGCTTGAAACTCTGTAGCATGAGTTTGACAGGGAAAAATTGGAGAGGTCCAAGGTTTTCCGCAGATACCTCCGTGAGATGAAACCAAGCTCTTGTCCGCATCCCGTTGCTTGTCTAGCACGAATGGTGTGGCATGATACTTTTGCCACCTTCTCTTACATTCCTTATGCATGGATAGCTTTGGTTCTGATGGATCTTTCTCCCTCAGCATCTCTTCACATAAAAACAGCAACCATATTGTCAAGAATGGCAGCAATGTCAATAAAAGGGAAATACATGTCATCCAGAGCTTCAAGCTCTTTGTTACATCCCTCATAGAAGAATAATATGCCTTGCTTTGCATCCACGGAATCTCCTGCAAGGGAGAAACGTGGAGAAGGCCCGGGACCAGAGGGATTCGAAGTCGCCCAAACACCAGTCGCTACAAAATACGTAAAAGCCCCATGAGAGACCAACAGGAAACAAATCTACTTACAAGCGAGAAACTTTCCATGGCTGATTGTTGTGTGCCCGGCTCCTGGCATCAGCTCGGCACCAGTCATCTTTACCTCCCACCATGCCATTGTTTCTGGATTACTACCATCCTCGCCACCCGTGACAACGAAACAGTTCTTATAGGAAGAGCAGGTATGGCTATCCTGAGGAATAGGCAAGACTCCAGTGGTAGAAATCTTCTTCCAGACAAAAGTATCTACAGGAAAAAACAAAATTAGAAGAAAACATGGAAAGATAACAGAATATTACTCGTGTTCAAAACATGGACGTTGTAATACTCCTACTCTGAGTGATCGCTGGATTTCCCACATCCCTCAAACATGAACAGGTTGTCACCAATGAGAGACGTGCTATGTCCTTCTCTTGGAGCAGGAACATCACCAAAAACGTCGGGTTTCCCCCAGGTGTTGGTAGCTGCATTAAGAATGAGAAAAAAAAAATGATAGAACTCGGAGCTTACCATTATCCAAAACAAAGAGGCCATCGAGCGTGCTGGTTCCATCGGTACCACCAAACACATAGAGCTTAGACCCGACGGCCATGGAGCTGTGGCTGTCCCGAGGAGAAGGGTGTGTTCCTTTCATCACAGGCTTGTGAGATTGCGAGATTGAGAGAGAGAGAGAGAGTACCTTCCCGCTAGCGATGATCGACGCTGTCTCCTTGTGGTCATGTGCCCTAAAAGACATTTGAAATTTTTTATGATCCCAAAAGTCACGACTCCCCATTGTTTAATCTCAGCCGTTAGATTTTGGCATATGCCCAGAATAAGTGACGCTAGCATATGCCATTATTATACGGGCTCTTTCGTTTAAATATATGAGTATGATGACTAGCAGAGACCCCAGCTCCGCTGGGAGATATAGCATACCCAAGATCTTCTTTTCTAATTTTACAATGTTAAAAATTTTGATTATATACAAGTTCAAATGATATTATATCAATTGTTATAAGATATAATTTCTTTCCCTTGTTTAAATGCAAAAGACTGGCATTCTGGCCATGCACAGCTCTACATGACTCAATGCCATACAACTCCATACAATGTTGGGATGCCTTTGAAGGAAGACATCACTCGAGCTCTTCAGTCAACTTTGCTCCTGGTTTCAGCAAGACATAGGTGGCCTTGCATCCACAAACAATGAGCTCCTCCTGTACAAGTGCCTCTTTATGGGGCAAAACCGTCACAAAAAATGAATAAAAGCATTTCAACCCTTTTACCATGTGTTTTAATCTAGGCAGTCATTTGAAAGTGATCAAATAGTAACTGCCCAAGTCCTCCAAGTGAGAATGGAATTGAGAGATAACATATAATAAGTAAAGAAAAGATTCTTAATTAGCAAATCAGCAAACATGACAACAGATGATGTACCTGCTGACAAATCTTGCAGATGGTGTCCTCTTTTTTGTTGCACTAGTGCTACACATGCGTTTGATGAGCATACTACCAAACACAAAAGAGAGAAAAAAAATGAGGAAGAGCCAGAAAATTTCTTAGAACTCTCAAACCACATATTATAGAAAATTATAAGATTATTAAGATCTAGAAAATTTCAGTTCAATCATAAAATTAAAATTAAATTATTAAACACAGCAACTATCTAAAGGAGAACATGATTATCAACAAACATAGATTATAAGACATATTAATATATTTTATAAACATAGATCTAGCACTTAAATAATAATATTGTTATATTTTTTTTATGGTACTATAATTAATAGAGTATAATAACATTATCACTGCTAGATTATATATATTAATCTATATATGTGGTCTTAGAACTCTCAGACTAAGTATTTCAGTCTTCAAGATTAGCATTTTCTACAACATCCATCTTACATTATGTAAATATCATATAATAGTGTATTACAGAGTTCAGTAGTTATAATAGAATCCATAATCTTAGCAAAGACCCCAGCTCCACTGGGAGATATAACATACCCAAGATAATTAATTCTTCTTTTCTAATTTTACAATATTAGAAAATTTTATTATATATAAAGTTAAATTTATCGAAAATTTTCTAGTATTCATCTCCAAAGAAATTTATAATAATGTAAATAAATAATAATGCATGTTGGGGAAGTAAAATCATTTTTTATCATCATTAAATTTGAATTTGATGTTTTTATTGTCTTTATTTAAAAATGCACAACCCTAAATACATCTACAGGATTGCTGTCATGCTTTAAAAGCAATTAAATTTTCACAAAACCAAAGAATCATAGACTACCAAAAAATAATAGATTAGTTTAGAGAAATTATAATTTTAATTGCATACTGAGTTAAATTCTTTTTATGTGAACTATAATGATGCCTCTAACATTCATACTTTACTAAATAAAAATAGAATTTCTATTATATGTCTGGTTTAACATTTTAAAACATACATAAATAAATCTATCTAGCTTGCTACCACGTTTTGTTTTATTTGAGAAAACTCTGGAATTTCAACATTTTGGGAGGTCATCCTACTCTAACCCTAAGATATTAAACCCCCCGAGTATCCTAATACCCTTAACCAATTGGAATAAAATGTGCA